GGTAATGGCTGATTAGGGTGCTTAGGGTGTGGGATAGGTATTGCTCAGAGGGTTGAATCCATCTTCTGGCTTCCAGTTCTGCAGTTTTCTCTACCTTTTGAGATACCCTCCCGTGAGCGCCTACAATCCTCTCTCTGTTGCCCCTGGCAGACACCCATGCTCAGTGGGAGGGGATAATTCTGAGAAATCACCTTAGTCACCCATTCTTCCTTAGTAGAGGAATTCTAATCTCTTATAGGATTCTAATATCTTACTGGATTAGAATCACAGATTTTGGAATTAGGGGCTTAAGAGATCACCAGCCAGGTTTCCCTATTCCTGGCTGGGGAGTTTTTATAGCTCTTTTTTTACAAATGAAGCTTTTCAGACCCAGACATATTTAGATGCTTTACCAAGAATCCACAGGGGGTGTTGGAGAGAGGACAGAATGCCCCTCTCCATGTACTTGCTGGACCGTGGTCCTTTGATCATAACACATTATTTGGTCCATTTTCCAGCTCAGTGGCACCAGCAGCTCCCAACGCCCATGTCCATCCGGCCCAGTGGCAGTCGCTATGGATCTCTCACCAGTAAAGGACTTGACATTTTTTCTGCCTTTTCCTCCATGGAAAGCACAATGATGTATTCATGCTCTTCTCGGAGTGTTGTGGAAAGTGACGAACTTTAAGAATGTCTGGCCGCAGACTGTGGAGGGGAAGGAGGACAAGCCAGACACGATGGTTTCCAAGCAACTGGATGTGAGTAAGTTCCCACACTGCTGGACCTGTGGCAAGGAGTGCTTTGAATAAGTCGGCTGGGGACTCTTGCAGTCTCTGCTGAGGGAGAGATGTAGGCCGTGCCTTCTAAAGATTCCAACAAAAATGTGAGAAGACAATGCAGATGAACCAAAGATGTCATACAGCTGTCATCCACTGCTTTGGGAAAAAACTAGCATGCTCCCCTGCCCCTGTTGTGTTAGGGATGTTTAGGTCCTACTTAGGAGCAATTAGGAGCCATATGCCTGGGCTGAGAAGAGTTAGACAGTAGTGACCTTAGGATATAACTAACTCAACAAATAATGCAAAGGAAAAAGGTGAGGAGGTCACCATCACCTTTCATAGATTTTATTTACAGCAATAGTTTTGATGAATTCCCTAAGTCAGCTTCCACTTAGCATTAGGAGACCATGCCATACAACTCACATATGTGGACAAACACTTTTGATTTGCATATCCTGGGTCTGCCGAGCCACATAATAAGGTGCCAAAATGTGCTTGAGGTTAAAAAAAAGTGCACTGCAACACTTGATATTGCACAGTGCACTTATTCTGTGGCCAAAACAGGGCCCCACCAGCTTGTCTGCACCGTTTTCTTTTGAATGGTAACTGATTTTTCTTTTCTGACTTTGCATATCCATAGATTATAGAACTAAAGTGTTGTTAATAAACCAATCAGAAAGAAATTCTTTTGCGGGGTCACTTTCAAAACTACTACCTTCAATTGCCACTTGCAAAATGTGCAAGAGTCATCATTTGCCCATAAAATACCACCTCACGCACTCCTTCCCCTTGCCCAAAATTCCGAAAGTGTAGGAAGCAGGGGGGAAGGAAAAGATGCAAAGAAGGGAAGGAAGCAATGAGCGAGTTATGTTTTTTCACTTGCCCCAGCAGAGCAGCAGGTGTGGAAAGAGAGGCCTTTAATAGCTGTAAATTGCTTTGAGATCATTGATCAAATTTTATTTTCTACATAGAAGATATTATGCTTACTGGGAAAGTGGGGGAAAGGGAAATATGCATCTTTATTCTAATCCACCAATTCAATTCAAAACTTACCTCTCAAGGAATTCTTAGACTTAAGTTCACTGCTATAGCCCTACTGCCTAGAAGAGTACCTCAGGACAAAGTAGACATTCAATAAATATTTGCTGGATGAATGAGTCTTATATTAACCTAATCTTATATTAGAGAATCTACAATTCACATACCAGTCCAAACACTTCCCTGGGAATAATCATCAAGGCACAGTTTGCTCTAGGCTTACTAGGGTAATGAATTGGAGATGTCTGTTATCAACTCAAATCTCTGCGATGTCTGTGCCAGGCATCCTCAGCTAGCGTTGTACTTGTGTGAACAGATAGCAATTGCTTAGAAAGACTTGAAACTTTCTTCGCTTCAAGTCAAGGATTTCCAGTATAAGAATAAATTCATTCACTCAAATAATCATTTGTGTGTCTACTCTGTATAAGATGCAATGCTAGATACTGTGGCAGATGCAGAGATATGACTAAGACACAGTCCCTGTCCTCAGGGAGCTTACAGTCTGGGAGGGAGGTAATATTTAAGGTATATAGAATGCTGCTTCTTGAGGCAAAAATCTACTCTTTAGCAAATAGAAGCTTCTAGTGTTCTTCATCTCATTTTTTCATAACTTCAAAAATCTTTTCAATTTAGTTTCAACCTTTATTTCTCAATAAAACAAAATGCCATAGGTTACATCCTTAAGAAATAACAATTTTAGTCAAATATTCAGCAGAATTATTAGATTTCATTTCTTTTTTATGTATGCAGCAACAGTAGTAAAATATAGGCAACTTTAATGGAATAGAATGTCTTTTGTATGGAATGCATCTTGCAAAATGTTCTCTTTCCATATTGACTTCTATTATGAGATCTCTTATAACCAAAGAGCACTTTTTAACCCCAAAACTTCTCTAGATTGTACACCTGACCCCCCATCACATCTACTTCTGTAACCCTTAGATAGTTCTCCCATGAAAGGATGTTCTTCATTCACCACTGTGTGTCTTAGCTTTCTGAATATTTTTTATCTGTGGTCTTTCAGTGTTCAACAAAAACCTAGGATAAATATTATACTTTGCCACTAGGTGGAGCTATCTCACCCCAAATATAACAGACCTAAAAATTCCTGTAATTTGAGCTATGGGATAGTGTTAAAAGCAGGGTTTCTCAACCTCAACACTATAGACATTTTGGACTGGGTAATTGTTGTGGGGGACTGTCCTGTGCCTTGTAGAATGCTTAGCAGCATCCCTGGCCTCTATCCACTAGATGCTAGTAGCAACCCCTACCCAAATTGTGGCAACCCAAAATGCCTTCAGACTTTGCTATATGTTCCCCGGGAGGCAGAATCTTTTGTTGAGAATCACTGTGTTAAACAAATTAGTGCCCTGCTTTAAGAATTCTATTAAATTCAATTACAGTGAGGGATAGTCAAATAAGAAATTTTAGTTCCACTAGATGTGTTTGTTTTCAACATACCCCAAATTAGATTCATCATCTTCCCTTTCATAAACCATTCCTCAGCCTGGTTTGATGATTTCTATTAATGGCACCATCACATTCCTCATAATCCAAATAAGAAACATCCAACTCAGTTTTTGCTTCCGCTATCCTATCCGTTGATAAGTCCTGTTAATTCTAACGCTTATTATTCCTTTTATAATCAAGCCCTTTTTTCCATTTCCCTGAAGTGCCCCAGTTCAGGCTTTCATTACTTTCTTAATTTCCTCAATACTTCTGACTTCAATCATAACAGACTCCTAAACTCTTCCCGCCACTAGTTCTGCTGTTTCTTCCCACGCAGATCCAGCCCAGATCTCAGCTGCGGATCATTATTCCCAAATTTTCAAGCCCCCGATGGCTACCTGGTGGTACCAGATACTAACTCAGGAACCAGCTGTTCTGCCCTGTGATATTCAGGCTCACCCCAATATAATCCCAAAGCTTTTCATCCACTACTCAGAAAACAACACACCCAATGCAGCAGCAAACCTCACACAGGGCCCTGCTTTCCAGCCATATGCCTCTCTTCTGCCTCTACCTGGAAGGCTCTCTCCCTAATCTCCATCTATGGAGATCTTACCTGTTCCTTAAAGTCCATTTCAAAGGCTATTACCTCTATGAAATATTTTCTGATCTCCCACACCCCAACCAGATACAATTCTTCTTTCTTTGAATCCTTATACCAAATTTCTTGAGTCTAGAGGAAGAGAATTTTACTTCTTGTAGTGTTTTATGCAGAATGCAGCCTCTGTATACCTTCCTGCTCCCTCCCCTGGCACTAACCCACTCTTGCCTGTACTAGGTTTGAGCTACTTGTTGGTACGGACCATGTCAGGAGTTTGTCTTTGTGCCCACAGAGTGGGCGCCCAATAAATATTTATCGACCTAAATTGAATTTAAAATTCTGTATAAGTCAATATGTTTCTCTATAAAGTGAATTGAATCCAAGCAGTGATTCTTAACCTTGGATGCACCTTAGAATCTCCTGGGGAGGTTTTTAGAAATCCCAACACCCAGGCCACACTTCAAATCAATTAAGTCAAAAGCTCTGGGGTTATGACACAGGCATAACTTGTTTTTAGAGCTTCCCAGGTGATTCCAATGAGCAGCCAAGGTTGAGAAGAATCATTTCATTACCATGATTTGATCACAGAACTTACCCAGAAAGGTACGGGGAGGTACAGACAGCATAAAGCTGTAGTGTTGGCGTCTATGAAGAAAGTACTCGCCCCTGACTGCATGTGCAGG